CTCAAACCCCCCCCCCCCCCCAGAAACCTTCTTCCCAAATTAGTTCCCCCGCCGCCAGCACCCTCCCCAGCGAACAACTCCCCGCCGCCATCATTTTCCCCAGCCACCCATCGTATTTTAATTCTCACCTCAAAGCCGAGAGGAGAACGAGAGAAGAAGTAGCGCAACAGAGAAATCCCCATGCCATTACTCTGTTCCACCTCGCAGCGACCCCATCCCTCTCGTTATAGCAATGATAGAAGCCTGGCCTCGCCATCGTAACCATCATCAGCGTTATATCCTTCTCCTAACGTTCTAGTGGTAAGATTCTCGATCCTCCCTTGTCCCTAAGCTCGATCGTTAAATCTCGTTTAACACACGAATGCTCATGATTAACAAAGTTTCGACTGCGGTCCCGACGTTATTGATTTTAACCAAACTCCAAAACCTTGACGTTATTCCGTAGAGGACGATCTCAGGAAAATCCCGGACTCGACAGAATTGAATTTCAACGTCGGACGAGGGAGATACGAGTCCAGGGAGTTGGGGACGCAAATCTGATAACTCAGGTACTAATATGGTAAATTCGAAAAGTATAAGTATTGCGGTGGTAATTCTGTTTCACTCTGTGAGAAAATATCCAAATTAGTCCCCCTTACTATCAGTTCCAACAGCTTAGTCCCTACTGTTTTCAAAAGTGAATATGGGCCAAAAATAGTATTTTATCTAGATTATTATTATTTTAGTTACTTTATAGTAAATATTTTCGTGGTTTGATAATTTTATAAATAGTATAAAATCAAGAGCATGTCTGGGTATTAATCAAATAATTTTTGGAGTTGTTTTTATAATTTCTAAAATAGAAAGAAAGGCGATTTTTAAGTAAATAAATTACTGTGCGAGCTATTTTAGTACCGTTGATAATTTTATTATAAATAATATAATATCATGATTATCGAGAAATTATTTAATTATTTTTAGAGTCGATTTGATAATTTTAAAAATTGACAAGATGTTGGTTTTAATTGATTTATTTATGGATCGTGTGTATTTTGTTCATTTGTTCATTTTTTGAAAAACTTTAATACAGTTAGAACATTACAAAATTTAAAAACAGAAATTTCGACTTTGGAAATATATTTCTAAAATTCGTTTTTGAGGAAATTAAATAGGAAGAAGGGGCTAGTTAAGATGTAAATTAGAGTCAATAATTTGTCATTATATTTTGAGTTATTCCAAGTCATAATTTGGAGTTTTTAAGAGGGAAAATATTTTTTTGGAAATTTATGAGGTTTATTTAGGAAATTTTGAGCTGATAGTAATAATTCAAGTCTCAGAAAATTTGGAGAAAATTCCAGTTTTTGAGAAAATAGTTTAAAGAGGTAATCAATCTCTATTTATAGGATTAAGGAAGCGGTCAAGTTAGGGATTCCACGTCCAACGATTTAAAGTATCAGCATTTGAGAGGTGAGTGTAAATATGATAAATTCTATGTCTTACGTACTTTTCAAGTATTTGCCTTATGTGTTTAATAAGTTGTTTTATGTGAAATTGTATGCTTGATTATGTTTATGATTGATTATTTGTGCTTTGCTTGAGCTATGATTTGAGGAGATTTTGTGTTATTTACCTTAAAACTTTACGCTAATTATGAGTGATTGTTAAAGTTTAAAAACAAGTTTTTTTTTAAGTACATCACCTTCAACAAGGTGAAACCGTTTTAAGAGTTTTTAGTCACTAGCGCCAGTCCGTTGCCATTTGAGATTTTGAGATAGAGCAGCAGTTATGCTCTTGAGACTTTTAAGATGAGCAGCAGTTATGCTGTTGAGATACTTTAAGATGAGTAGACGTTATGCTCTTGAGAATCATGGAAGAAGAGCCTTCCACGATAAGTTTAAGTTTAAGGAAAGCCTGGATGGGCTCTCATACGTATGAGTTGGCAACTGGCCTAGCTAGTAAGGATCCCCGTGTCAGTCAAAAGATTTATGTCAAGATTTGAGCTTTAAGGAGGGAGAGTAACTTTAACTCCTGAAGAATTTTAAGAGTTAAGATTTTTTTAGAATGGAAGTGCAAAACAACTTCCACTAGTCGAAGTTAAGTATTTAGAGAAGAATGCTAAAGTACTATAGATTTTAACGTAAGGGCATAGACTGACCCCAACTCACTCTTCAGATCGTAGAGGAGGAGATCATAACCAGCCAGTCCGTGATCAACAAGCTAGAGGAGCTCAACACCACCGTCGCTGAGGGATGTCAAGCCAGGCGTCAGAGTAAGCATCAAAGAACTGCTTAATTTATTAAGACTTTGTGGTGATGAGTTTAAGACTGGAGATTCATTTCTTTTGCTTCTTTTAAAAGTACGATTTAAGTTTTGCCCACATGTTTAGGGCTTCGCTTTGAGTAATTAAGATAATTGAGATTGATATTTTGTTTAAAGTGGTGTTATTTGAGATTTTGACTATATATCCCGGGGGTAGAAATGTCTTTTTTCCAAGTTCAAAGTAGTGGGATGTGTTCAATACTTGAATATCCATCAATGCCAATGGAAATGAGAAGAGTTCCTTTGTATTTCCCAGTAAGGAAAGTTCCATAAACCTGTCAAAAATAAATTCAAATTGGTATAAATATTAAGTAGTTAAAAAAACTGAACTATTACAAGAGTAATTATTCTATAATATACCTGGATCACTAGAATACTGAAGGCAAACCCGTCAATGCATGGCTTGAATGCCCATAATATACGGTGAAACATCAACTCATTTTGTACTCGAACTTGATCTTCAGTTATACATTGTTGTACCATGGCATGAAAACAGTCCCCGGGTTGGACTCCTCCATTGCGGCCATTAGTCTAGGAAGTAAAGCATATGAGTGATCGCAATCACCATAGACCTCAGCCATGTCCTTCTACTTTCCATGCCATGCCTTCTTGTACCTGATCGTGTATGAATGTCGATCCTTCACCTCGGCCATGATAGCTTTGATCTTTATATCTGGATGTGCCTCGATCAAGTACTTAATGGTTCTTGCCACTTTCTTTGCTCTAAGTTAGCGGTGATCCTGAGAAAGTTTGGATGATGAGCAGCTGTGGTTGTTCTCTACTTTTCGAATCACCCAGACACCTTTTGTTTTCATATTTGCAGCCCGCAGTTGCCACATACAACCCTCTCTAGCATTCTTGCATATGACATGTAGTTGTTTGGTGTCAGAATATTTTACCTTCCACTCGAAATTGCGTTGCATGGATTCTTTAGTAAAAGCATCTTGAACATCGTCTTTCGAAGTGAACGACATACCCACCTCCAAATTGGCAGTCGGATTATACACTGGCATAGGGAAAAAGTTAGGGGCATTGTTCTGACTATATAAAATTGAGATGGAACCTCTGTGTAGTATGGCATTGGTGGCTCACGGAACACCACCTCTTCGTCATCTGTATCGTTCGTATCTTCCTCCTCGCTGACCGATCTCAAATCTTCCTCAATTTCCTTGTCGCTTGAGGCGAATGGATAGCTCGGTCCAAGAGTATCATCGTGACCTGCATCACCAACATCATCTTCTCGCTCATGAGAAGTATGCCCAAATCGAAGGGTATTCTCAATGTCAGCCCACTCTGTCCCCCAAGCAGGCCATTGAACGCCGTCAGGCTGTACCGATGGGGCAGGGTCAACATGTTGTGTGTATTCTCCCCATGCCACACCTCCTACATAACTACCTCCTCCGTAGTTGCTTGAATCTACCACCCCATTCGCACCCTCCTGCAAAACCATCATCATAAGAATACTGGTGAGAATGAGTTTCATCCACCGCCTCGGTCTCGACATACACCTCTGCAAGCCGCATCCCGTTGTCAGATAGAAACTTTATCATCATGGTAACCTTATCATCATCATTTATGACAACTTCTTCGTACATAACTCCACCAGCACTTTTGTTTGGATACCGGTAACTAATTTTACCAACTCTCGTTTGTCCGCCCAAACAAATCCCTTCTGCACAAATGTCAGGAGTTCTTGCCACGTGAATCTCGACTCAATTTTCAGCATGGTGGATTCACCTTCTTCATAATCGATCCCAATGTCAGAGTTTGTCACTCGACTATTCCACCGAATAATAAGTCGAAACTTACTCATGTCTGCAATTTATAATAAGTAACTTTTAGTTTAACTCGAATAAGATTAGTATAGTATAATTAGTACTTGGGGCTACACAAACAATATCCAACAACATATTTTTGGGACTACGAAAATAATATCATCCAAAGTAATAAAACAACCACAACTAACTAATCGAAACATGGACCATAATTAGCATTAGAATAACATGAGTATACTAAACAAATTCATCTAACTAACATCAATCATACCATAATTAATCGAAATATCTCTAACATAATATATTTGCCACTAACCGCAATTCATTAACTACAAACATATAATTATTAAAACATCAATATCTAAACAGTACATAATTATATCATACCACAAAATTTTGAGTTTCTATATTCGTAGACTGCTGAAAACTGGCAAAGAGGGAGGAGATTCTGTGAAAATTTGAGTGAAATGGGGCAGTTTTTTGAGGAAGGTACGTGGGGGGATCATTTATTTATATGCAAACAATCACCGCAAGAGTATATTGTGTGAAGCGTTCACCGCAGTAGACATTTGCGGTGAATGCTAGGTCGTTATGACCTACTTTTCCACCTATCGGGTTGGAAAACGTGGTAAAATTCACCATTTTTCAGTAAAGCAATGATACGTTCATCGCAATGGCCAGTTGCGGTGGTGAATAGGTTCACTGTCTTCTTCCAACGCAATGAATGGTTCACTATTTTCATGTACTGGGGTGATTACTTCACTGTTTTAGATGAAAACGGTGACATGTTTACTGTTGTAATCTATTGCGGTGATTGTATTCACTGTCATGGTCTATTGCGGTGATGTACAAACATACATAGTTTGAGAATTATTTTTATAACTAACGTATTTTGAGAATTTTTTTTAAAAACTAGTGTATTCTGAAATTTTTTTCTTAAATTTTAATGAGTTTAAAGAGCTGAGATCAACTTAGCCAAGTGATTAAGAGATCCTTCGTCACCCGATCGTAACATAGGATGCTTGTGGTTGTTTTTGACTTTTTTTAAAGTTTTTTACTTAACCTCCCGATGAGAGCTGAGAGTTGAGGCGCAGTGGCACTTGCAGGAGGCGGAGGATCGCTTCTTTCTCTTCCATTTCAAAACAACACCAACTCCTCCAGAGTAATCAGGTAAGTTTGGTGATTTCGCATTTTTAAAATCCCATCTTAAATTTCCCATGAAGATCCCAAACTACAAACCATCGGATTCCCTGCTGAACCTTTTCATTGTTAAATTTTCTGTTAATTAATATCATATTTTGGTTCCCCTGAATTTAATCATTCTTCTGGGACTCTTCTTCTGAACTGCTCTACGCAACCTCTCGGCCGTGTCTCCACAATTGACCAGCCCTACCATCCATCTTTTCTCTCAGTCTTACGCTACGAGTTCATTCACCTTCTGGTTTTCCCCCTACTCCTTTGATCTTCCCTTCCTTGACTACAGTTGAAGAGGAGGATATTTGGTTGATCGGTGTTCTCTCCTCCACTTGGAATTCCGCTCAATTAATGGCTGCTCTGTCTCGAGGTTGGTTTCCAATTTCTTTCAGTCCTTAGCTCATTGCATCAGCAACATATCTTCCCTCATATGCATATATATTCCCTTTTGCTGGGTTTGTCCAGGAAATTGAAATTTGCCTTTCTCCCGTAAGTAATTTGTCTTGCTGTTTAGGGCTTATGCGCTTCATACCTGTCCACCGCCAGCTACGGTTCTCCTACTAGGAACGATTGAGGATAAGAGGAGACTATTTTCATAAAAATACAAAAAATCGACTGCTGGGACGCCTGGTTCCTACTGGGATCATGATTTGTTTATTGCTTTCTAGCTGCTAAAGATTGCAACAAATATAGCAGCTGCTGCTGCTTGCTGGCTTGTTGCATATCCACCACCATGGATTTACACGGCATGGCTCCTCATTCTGAATCGGGAAAGCTGGAACAGGTGGTCTCACAGTTCCTTTTGAAGAGCTTGCACATTATACTGGACTCTCGGATCCCATCTCTTCATCCGCGTGACCCGACATGTGATTCACGGGTCAGGAAGAGTGACAAATGGTTCAATCTGGTACTGGGGGATCGCCCAGCTGCACTGGATAACTTGAACTTCTGGCATAGGAATTTGATGGATCCAATGATCATTGACATTATACTTGTTCAGCAAGGGACAGCAATATCTACATCTGTGGGCAATTTGCTTTCTGGTTCACCTGGAAGGACAGCTACAGAAACGGTCATAGAGAGGTGGCTCGTCCAGTTTGAGTCACCCCCCAGGGGTATTGCTTCTCAACCCAGTGAGGGTTCTGCTGCCTCTTACAAGAAGACATATAAGAAGTCAATCATATTCTTACGTTCCCTATACTTGCAAACGAGGCTTCTTCCAGCATACCGAATCTTTAAACAGCTTAGCTCATCTAGCCAACCTTTTAACTTCGATATCATTTACAAGGTTTCATCTTTCTCCGAACCATTCTCTAGGGTGGAGGAGGAAATGATGAAGGAATATCGGTTTGTTCCTATTGAAGCCCTTCCTGGCAGGCTACATGTATCAGTGACTTACCGCCCACAACTTTCTGAGTTTAACCTTCAGCCTTTGACCACCATGCCTCCCAAAATCATATCCGATTATGTTGGTAGCCCTGCAACCGACCCTCTGAGGTACTTTCCCTCTTCATACAAAGGAGATCGTGCCATATCTTTCCCATCTAAAGTAATGCACAGCCCTACTTCTGTACCTTTTCAACGGCCGCATAGCTGGACAAGTGGTTTCCATAAACCGGTTGTCAACCATCATCTTGCAGGGTCACCAACAGTGTACCGCACATCCCAAATGTCATATGATTCACCATCCCCACCCATGGAAAGGATCCAAAACCATAGACGACCATTGCATCAAAGGGCTCCCTTCTATGATGAATGCCAGCTTTCTCCTCCCTTTTCACCATCTGTCTCCCCTTCTACTCCAACTTACTTAAGAAACAGTGAAAGTCCTAGGCAAACTCGTGCTAGTTCTGAAACTGCACCTGTGACTATTCCATCCCCGATATCAGGCAGAAGTTCTAGATACATCTCTCCCAACTTTTCTGATCCGAGTAAACTTTCCCTTCCTCCTTTATCTCCTAGAAGCACACGGCTTGATAATTCATCAAATGAATCGCCATCTGGGATGAGGTTAATTAAGAAACCAGAAGCTTCAAGGGCCGATTTGGGCTCTGCTGGTCAGAAGGTAACCTTTGTTTTTGTTGTGCCTCTTTCTGATATCTTGATTGTAATATACTCGGTCAGTTTCTTTCTGTTGTTATTGATTAGGTTGATTCTATAATTTTAGGTGCTCAAAGATAACAAAGATGATTCAGGACGGTTTTCTGGACTATTATCTTCCAGCGACTCTCCACGTGTTGGATTTTCTAGGAGTTCTAGTAAATTGTCCTTCCAAGACGATATAGATGATTGTGACTTTTCATGTCCTTTTGATGTAGATGATGTTGACCCACCAGACTCCCGAATCAGGTACTTCAGTAGTTCTGTTTAAGAGCTATTTCTCATTTGTGGCATGACAATGTTTGCATGAAAATATTTGATTATCATGAAAAAAATGTACCAATCTGTTGGGTCCCTTTTGATGTGGATCCACTGAAGATACTTGAGAAGTTGGAGATTACTAAGCTATTTGTGCTTTTGCAGAATTCTGTACTTTACTGGTCCATCTTAAGCCTGTTCTGAATCTTATATAGCCCTGAAGCTATTGAAACTCTCGCCATTTTTACCTGTTCTGTTGAATGATGGTGAAATTGGTTACAAGCGAACATTGTCGATGATGGACTGTACTAGGACAGGAAACACAAATTATCAAAATCCTAATATGTGCATTGAGGTGGACCAAATGATTGACGTGTGGAAACTAATCCAGTATGTTAGGGAATCTTTGATGAATTGTAGAAGTTGGACAATTTTTCCTATCCTTTTATTGTTGATGGATAAGAGAATCCTAAGAGTCTGAAGCTTTGCTTCCAAGTTTTGGGATGACATTCATGCAGCTGCCATCGATTCTTTTGAGTTGCTTTAGCAACTTAGCTTTTTGACTTGAGAATTACCATCGAGAGCAAACTTAAATCTGGATTAAGCACTACCATCGCTGTCCAACAATTGATGTTTCTGTTTGAAGTCTTGGAGATCATGTTCCTTCTAATTAGTTTATTCAGCTTTGCTCAGTATGCCCTTTTTGGCTGTTTCAGTCAGAACGTTGACTGGAAGAGAAACTTGGAATCAACGTCGATGGGTAGGAAATCACAAGATGCAGCAGTTGGTGTCCTTGTTCACATGTTGAGGACTGCACCTCCACTGCGCCAAGATTCCAGCTGTTACTCGTCCCGTTCCTTGAGAGCTGAAGTAGAGAATGATGGGGTTGCTACTACAGCTTCTGGGTTCTTTATGCCTCGAAGAACGTCTGATGCCTTAGAAGAGCTGAGGAGTTACAGGGAGATGAAGGACCTGTTACTGTCTAAGAGTGGAACTCGGGTGCTAACCAGAGAACCACCATGAGAAATTGTACTGATTCCGGTTCATATAAATTATTGACTCGCGTGTGGCATGCTGCCTGTGGTTCTACGGGCAATGCCATTCTTTTCAGTTATTCGGACCTTGCCCCTTGAAACCATTGCCATTCTTTTCAGTTATTCGGACCTTGCCCCTTGAAACCATTGATAATTTGCAACAGTGAAAGCAAATATATTAAAAGTATAACTGCACAAAACAACTTGCACTGTGCATCTAGACTGCTTTATACTGCTCATTTAGACCTAATTTTCCTGTTCATTGGGTTCCGATTGGTTGTTGCTCTGGTTGTTCAGTGGATTCTGATATAGATGCTCAGCTCCCTTCGAGCTGTTGATGCGATCTCCGGTTGCCATCTTTTAGTTTGGTTACTTTTGTTTGGTGTGGTCACAATGATCTTTGCGTTGGTCGCAGAGTATCTTTGAGTTTCTTTGAAAGACCAGATTTTGCTTTGTTGGTTTCGCTGGAGAGATCGAGAGAGGAAGGGACAATTGTTGATGGAGACAAATTTTTGCTTTATTACCTTCACTGTAGAGTATGAGAGAGGAAGGAAGGTTTGCTGATGGAGACAAGTCATTGCCTTATTCCTTTCACTGCAGAGAGGTTGACAGTCGGGAGAAAAGTGCATACTCACTCCTTAGAGAGTGGCTGAGGGAGAAAGGAAGCCAGGTAGTTCTTATATTTGAGGTCGTTCATTTAACCTACCCGTGTTGCCACTGTACACATTTCTACTTTCTTTCTATTGATTTTCATTTTTTGGGATTGGATTGAGAGAGTCAGAGAAACCATCTTACAATCCCTCTTTTCCCTCTCTTTCTCTCTCACTTTTCTATATATGCTGGGTTTCTCTCATCATGGTTTGGGAGATGAGCCGATCTCAAAGCGATCATGTGCGAGTTGGAGAAGACGAGAGAGAGAATTCAAGGAATGCCCAGATGCACAGGTTAATTATGGTTTTTTCCATCTCTATATAGATCATGAATTTGTTCTTTTTTTCATGGGTTCGTTCATAGTAAGGATTTATTTTGATTACTTTTCCGTTGAGATTTCGCACAATGAGGCAAACGGTGAGGAGTTGATTGATCTGATGTTATTAAGGATGGTGTGGGTAACAACAGGGGTTTGGAGTTCCAGAAAGAGTCGTTGGAATTCTGGTGAGGTTTGCTTCTTAATCCCCTTTTGTGTTTCTTGCATTTATATTTTTTGTCGAATCCTCCCCTTAAATAACATTCATGTTTTTGTCTCTCGCAGATGATCATCTGATAGATTATTTGAATCAATGACTTCCATGGTAACCATGATCTCTCAACCCTCTCCAGTCGGCAATCTCCATCCAATGGAGATTCTCTTTTCTCAACCTCCACGCATATCAACTTTTCTATTTTTATTTGTCGATTTTCTCTGATTTGAGCTTTTCGCATGCAGTTGATCTAAGCTATGAAGCCATCGGCGTCAAGTTATCGAACTTCCCAAAGTTTTAAATAGAGGATTCAGTTTAAGACCCTAATCTACAGGTTGTCGATCTGGTTTCATGTGATTGTTTATTCTCTCCCTGCATCTTTCTCTCTCGCCAGATTGAAAATGAAGGTTCAAAGATTTGTCCTGTTTTTTTTTTCTTTTTCTATCGGCCACTCAGAAAAGAGTGGAACTCTAGGTTGCTCAATGGATTTGAAAGGTACAGAGAGTATTCACAGAAGTGCAGATCAAAAGACAACTTGAGCTCATTTGAGGTAATTGTTCTTCTAGCCGAGTTTGTTTTTTCAGTTACCTTACTTGGCGTTCTTCTCTTCCTTTCGTTCATCTTATGGATTCATTTTTGTTCTTTTCGTGGGAGCAGTCGAGGATTTTCCTGCATCTTTGACAGTTCAAATTAATCGAGGAGTCGATTCATTGCCTCTGAACTCAACCTGTCAGTTAGGGTCGGGAAAGTAGACCAGATCGTTTGAAAAAACCATGGTCTAAACCGGACCACACATTTTGATCCAGACCGTAGACCATTAAGTATGGTCTGGTCTGGTACATGATCTGTATTTTATGTTTTTTTTATTTATTGATTTGGTCTGTCTGGACCGCGATTTACCGGACCAAACCGTGGACCCAACAGACTTTTCAATATGTGTTAGCAACCCACTAGACCACTCTCTCAACTCCCACAACGATACCTAAGTCTTAATCTTAATTTTGAGGATCTCGTGCCCTCCTTCATTCACAACCACATTTCACTAGAGAGTAGAGATGATCATGTCTCCATATGACATTATGTAAATGTTTATGACATTATGGTGCAAGTTGGGATGTTTTGACTTTCTATATTTATTATTTACTGATATTTATGGTGTCAAAATTATCCATGCATGTAGAAATTTAAGTTTTAAGGAAATAAAATGGTTCAATTTTTTGTGCGCTTGACTAATTAAATTGTTCATTTTTCGTTCACTATGTTCTATCTAGACTAAACCGAACCAGACCAGACCGTACAGGCGTGGTCTGGTTTGGAGCATATAGTCTGCGGTCTGGTCTGTGGTTTATACTCTAACCTTTCGGTCTGGACCGTAGACCGCATATATGATCCGGTCTGGACCAAACCACACTGTTTCCCAACCCTACTGTTAGTCGTTATGTTTCCTTATCTTCCTTATTTGGTCAATCTCTCTCCCATGAGAGTTGTTTTCTGTTTTCAGTACTTTGGTTGGTTGTAGGTTCCAAGTCGTCATCCATACCTCAAGAATTATATATGAGCAAGGTGATTAGGGGGCATACGTGAATCTCAGTTTTAATGGGTTCACCCTGTTTTTTTGAATCTCAGTTTTTTATTAATTTTGACGGTCCCCGAATTGACTTTGCGCTTTCCAGCTGGTATTATACCCACAAGAAGAGGTGGTTGGGTGCTGGAAACAAGGACTTAGTTTTACTGTAAGGTATTCTACTCTACGCCATGTTATTTTGCTCAATACCTATGCAATCATCTCTTTTTCCCCTGTTGCTACTCATCTTTTTGTGTTGTATTCAAATCTTACAGTTGCAGACTAGAAGTTTGTTTTCACCCAATTTTCGACTCTAATTACTAATGTCGAGAGCAAAAACAAGCTATGTGTTTCCTTGCGAAACCAAATACCACCGTCGGTGCCGAATTTGGTTCCGGCGATGTTCATTTGATGCTTCGCGGTGGAAACTCTTGCGGTGCCATTTGATCTGATGCACCGCTAATTGTTGAAATCGACGAGACCGTCAAATATCCACCGGGCGGTGTTGATTTGATCGGTGCAACTGACTTCTGAAAATGATGACGATCGTCAAATATCCATCGCCGTGCGATGTTGATTTGATCGATGCACCTCTGAATGGTGAAATCAACGTGACCGTCAAATATCCACCGCCTTGCTATGTTGATTTGATCGATGCACCTCTGACTTCTAACCAACGCGACCGTTACTGCGGTTCGCACCGCTCCAAACTACGTTCGAACGAGGGTGTTTGAGTTTTTTGGGGAATCTACGTTAAAACTACTCCTATGGAGATTCCTGTGGAGAGCTCCACGACTACGACTACTGCTACAACTATGGAGATCCTTCCTGGAATGAGAGCTCCACAAGGAAGTCACAGAGAAAAAAAGTAAAGTTTGACAAATGTGTTTCTGTGTTGTTTTGGTTGTCCCCTTCTCTCTCCTTGCTCCACTACTTTTATTCGAAAAACAACTTCGTAGTCTTCACGCTCGGTGAAACCGCTTCCTCAACTACTCCGTTGTGAAACCGTCTTGATCTCCTCCTCTCTCTGGCTGGCGTGAATCTCACGCGATGTCATTTATTCCCAAAACAGCTATGTCTACCTTTTTTCTCCGCGACATTGTTTTATATTAAACACTATCGTTTTATACTCCGCGGTGTTGTTTTCTCTCGCGGCATCGTTTTTAGTCAAACAACACCGTCTAAAATAATCATTAAACAAATTAATTAATTAAACTGGCTCATTATTGCCACGTGGTCAAATTCTCGTCCCTTGGCGCCGTTTAATCTTTCCGCGACATCGCTTTTCACTGATCGATGTCGACCTTGAACTGCTTTGTCCTGGTCCCATCAAACAATGTCGTTTTTCATTTCGCGACATTGTTCTCTACCAAGTGGTACCGTTTTTCTCGTCTTGCGGTGCCGTTGGGCTTGTCGGGCCGCCCTCGCCAAAATCCAACCCTTTGTGGTATAGTTTTTAACTAAACGACATTGCTTACCAAGACCTCTCGCGGTATCGTTTTCTAATCTGCGGCGTCGTTGGGTTACTCGCGGTGCCGTTTTTAGCCAAACGACATTGTTTCCCAGTCTCGCGATGCCGTTGAGCTTTGAGGTTCGCGGCACTGTTTTATCCCTCATCCGACAAGGAAAAAATAAAAATATTCATTTTCCAATAACAACACCAACATGCCGAGTGAATCCGACATTGTTTTTCCCTAAACAATGTCGTTTTAAGTACCGCAGCGTCGTTGAGCTTCCTTGCGGGTTTTAACTCTCCGCGATGGCGCTCGACTCCAAACGACACTGTTTTTTGTCATGCGATATCGAATTAAATGCTGAGACTCATCCATTCGGCATTTAATTTAATCAAAAATAATTTTAGGTGTAAACAGTATGTTTTTGTACCATTGCGTGACTAAAACATGGGTCGGCAATATAACTATAGTTGGTTGCAGAATTATCAAGCCAGTAGCAGGCGTTTGAAGTTTGTTATGGTTAGGTCTTCGAAGTTGGCAAAGACTATTTCGATAGGTTTTGAATCCCTTTCACATGGCTTTTCCTTCTTTTTCATAGTATCCCATCTTTATGTATGTTGATGTATGACGACTACTTATGACGTCCACAAATTGTAATATACAATAAGTTCAGTTTATGCATTGGATTGGCAAGCATGTATATCAAATAATATGTGATGTTCAATTCCACATTTCAGCTTATAATAAATTTCTTAACTTTTACCCGAATGAAATATCTAACGACAAGATTGTAAATATAGATGCCTTGCTTTTTTACTATTAGAAACTTTGGATTTAATTAGCAAAGTAATTATAATCAAAGTTAAGATTACATATACATTAATGGAATTTTTTTCTAAGATACCACAATCCCGTAGCGGAGCGCGGGAAAGAATACAAGTATCTTTTAAAGAATGAAGGAACGAATTCAATGCAACACCCAAACTATTATCCAGTGTTATTTATATCCTAAAGTTTTCCGTTGGCAATCGTGAAACGAACTTTAATTTATTAACATTGAGACTTGAGTGTTAGTGGTCAATAATCAA